GCATTGAATAATTGTGCAACTCAAAATGTTTCCGTGAGTGAGGTCGTTAACACTCACGAATATAAACAGAACAACAGTGTTGCTTTCCTAATCGAATTTTTCATGTCCATGCCAGCGCAATACCGAGTTATCTTGAAGGAAGTATCAAGTTTATGAATGTTATCCAAAGAACAAATTACAAAACTACCCCGGATCTCCTGATTTAAACTTTTCAAGCATCTGGATTAACTGACTCTCTGAGACCGTGTCCTTTATTTCTACTTTTGTCTTCGGTTGTTTATTTACCTAAAGCTTGCACCGCGATAAATATAACACCCTTGTTGATATGGTTATCACTGTCTAGCTATAAGACAGGTTAAATCGTTAAGTATAGATGCACGTTTTCCTGCTCTAGCGCTGCAAGACTTTTATTAGAACTTTGGAACTAGGCCAACAAGAAAGTCAGCAGAAAGTAGCGTGAACCTTTTCGCTACATTGTGACATTGTTGTTTACCCACCATACTTTTTTGTTGTTGTAGATTTACACATCCCGGTAACGGTTTTGTGATAATGCATCGAGTGTGCGCCAAGTTCAAGATGTTTTCTCGGATGAAACGTGCAAAACGTGGCTTCCTCCTTCACGATTCGCTTTCAATGACAGCCATTTTCGCACGGGATGGGGTCTTGCATGGTTGTGCCTGGCCTGGCACTACTTATAAACTCGTTGACCTTTGGCAAGGGTTCTACTGAGGAATGTTCTCCTCGCCTGTCATCGCGGCGAAATTTTGTTAGATATGTCTGGCATTTTTTACACAAATAACTAGCCGGAACGTGAATTCCCACTTTGCTGGTTTCTTTCATCAATGAACACGGCCTCGCTGCTGAATCTTCGGCAATAATCTGCGCTTTTGTGTGACGGTATGGTTGTGTTATATGCTTTGATGAGGTCCAATCTAATAACAAAACGCTTTTTTTTCTTCTCTTTTCATAGGTATATCAGAATATGTTGGAGTAAGTTGTGTTGATGAATTTATTTTTGTGTCGGTTACTGGCCATCATCGACGCATACGAGTGCCATAAAAATAGAACGATTTGCGTAAGTTTGACTGAAAGTCAAATGACGTAATTTTTTGGGATAATTTTGTGTCGGCGCTAGTGACAATGCCTTGAGAAGTACATCACCTGTTTGTCAGTTTTGGGAACCGTCAGAATGAGCCGTTAACAACTAGTAGGTCGAATTGATAACGGTCAAGATGATCATTTTTTATGACTGATGGCATATTTAGAAAGGAAGGGCAAGGAAACCACTCATAGAAACCAACAGGGTTGTTAAATTGAACAAATTTACATTTTATTTTATACCGACGGGTTCGTTTTGGGTACGGGTATTCACAATTTTTTGGGTTCAGGTTGGGTACAAGTTCTTGAAAATTTTATCAATCGGGTACGGGTTGGGTTCGGGTATTTAAAATTACATACTCCTAAAATAAAGCATATTTGCTTATATCAACTAAAAAATTCCCCAAAAATGACGGAAAATAATAAATTTGGATTTCCACTGCTTTGCACCTATAGTTGCGGTAGAGTTCATATAATAGTGGAATCCATACGAGACCAATGCATTCCGCTGGTTCCTATACAAGGTTAGCAACTACCAAGACTACTGGAACAGTGTTCCTAATCATGAAGGACAAGTTTTCTTAAAATGTATGCAATTTTATTACAATGTAAGATTTTCTAGCATGAATGCTACAGATTGACGTATAAAAATTGTATGCACGTCGTATATTTATTTTAAATAAATAAATCGCCTTTGTTCTTCCACCACTGGCTCACCCACCCTACCTACGAAATGGGCTCGACTAGTGCAAGCAGAAAATGAATATACGCCACTACACGGCCGGTGAGATTAACTCAAAACTGAGTCGAGTTTAACTCAAAATTTCAAAAAATGATCTTACTCAGTGATTGAAATTGTCCTCGTTTTTTCTCCAAAAACGGTTGGAATATGAGGATAATCGAGGAAAATTTTAAGAGTATTTTCATAGATTGAGTAAGCGTTTCATCGATTTTCCTTATATTCAAGCCGATTGTTTAAGAAAATCGAGGAACATTTAACTCCCTCACAGAGTAATCCTAATTTTCTTTTAATTCGAGAGCTGAATTCGACTTAATTTGAGTTACTCTGAATTATGAAATTAGCCAGTAGTTCGAAATGTTCACACTACGTGGCGTTAATGTATACGTTAATTCCCTGTATAAGCTTTATCTTGAGATCTTGACCACTACGTGGCACTAGTGTGCATGTGAACTTCTTGTATAAGCTATACCTTGATATTCTGATCCTAGATGGTCAGGATTTTGAGGTATAGCGCATACTAGAAGTTAATATGCATACTTGCACCGCATAGTTAGAAATTTTTTGATACATTTGTCTATTATTCAAAAAGCGTTGGTCACTTGAACCACTTTGCCAAAAAGAAAAGGCAACTGCGCACAGTGGGGTAGCTAAAGCAAAAACCTGGCCAAAAGTTAAAAACACAAAAATGCTTAAACTCAAGTGCATATAGCTTCAACTTAACGTTATCCATACCGGATAACTTGCCAGCAAAACTTGGAGTTAATGTTTTGTTTACATCCAATGGCAGTCCAGTAGACTTGGTGATTTCAACACTTATTTTTTCTGCACAAGCAGCAGTTTTTACAGTGAAGGATGTTTGATCAGTTTTTTTTTAATAATATTATTTAGTTTAGTTTCGTTTAGTTCAGTTTAGTTCTAAACGTGATGAAGTGATGAAGTGAACGAGAGATGAAATTAGAGTCAAAAACAAATGTGAGATCTTATTTTCATAATTCCATTTCAAAAAAGAACTCATCTGAACTCGTCTGAACTCCAGGGCTAGATCGTTTTGAAGTTATAGTGGATTATTTATTTAAAGGGTGTATTCGATAAAAATGGCACACATATAAATAGCTGTAACTTTTTACCTATTATACCAAACAAATTTAAATTTTAACAAAATTATATAGAGATAGAGTACTGAACGAGTAAAAAATATGTTAGAAATCAAATACGACCTTTGACTTGGGTTTTAATCACGAAAACAAAAATTTGTCTCAAAAATGTTGTACAGTGGTGAAAAACTGCATTAAGCTAATTTTAACTTATTTTTTCCATTCCTTGTTCAACTTATTACTGGATTATGAATCTTAAAAGTGTGATAGAAGATACTGTTTTTGTTTGGTGATTTTTCATTTTAGATTTTTAGATTTTTATGTCAAAATGAACCAATATTTCGAAGTATAATTTCTGACCAAATAAACGATATTTTGAAATATTATATTTGGAAAAAAATAATCTTGTTCCATGAGCAGCATTCTTGTTTGTGGATGATTAAAGCTACAACATATTTTATCAGTTCAACTTTTACAAATATTTGAAATACTTGTGGAGTCAAAACAAGAATTCAGAAACAAGATGTTCCGTTCCGATTCATATTTCGAACACTTTATAATTATATCTTAAAATACCTATATAGCCATCAAATGTATTCATGATTTCTACGTTAACGAGTCAACTATGCATTTAGTTCGATACGTTAGTTAAAAAGCTACCAAAGAAAGTCTATAAGAACGCATAATATGAATGTTTACACCCATTTTTACTAAAACAATCGGACCGAATCCATTTTTTTCCTCATCGGTAGGACAAAGTGAATTCAATTGTGTTTCAATATGATAGGACGAAATAAGAATTCGTAGGCCGTGGACCCTAAACAATATCTCAACAATTTGTTACTCTTTATTAAATCCAATGGCACACGTATGGAAAATAAATAAATTTGAAGTCATCTGTAGTGGAAACATTCCATTTTGTGAAAAAAAATCCGCTCAATAAAGAAATGCAAACTGCCGGTTGTGCTTAGTAGACCCAAAATAAGATCTATGTACTACAACACTTTATTTTTAATAATCATTGTTAAACTTTGAAGTTGAATTAATGCTTTATTATTTGTGCATTTAGTTATCTTTAAGAGTCTTGCGATTTTTACCGGTATCCCAAAAAATAAATCATCGAATCCCAGGGCCCTCTACACCAATCATGCCAAGAGACGGGCTGGCCATAGTGGTTAGCATCCACTCACGATAAAGATCACGAGTTCAAAACACATGCCCGGACAAACCACGAATCACATTAAATGTGATAAAGTGACCATAAAAAACCAAACATGTCAGTCAAAATGGAAAACCAAGCCTCTATATTACATGTAACCCGATCTGTCAAGTGCACTCAACAGTATTTAATTTACGTACATACCACAGAGAAAACTCGCTGTCTTCAAATTCAGAAGAAATAACACGTAATACATGTTATTGATGCATCTTGTTAAACAAGAAAATCATTCAAAATAAACGATATTTGCAACAAAACAGTAACCCCCAAGGGCACATCAATGTTGTCGACACCTGACTGCACTTCAAACATTTAAAATTACACTCGCTGACTGTAAACAAGCAAAACAAAACGTCGAATGCGTAGGTAAACTTCACAACGCAATTCGCACAGATGTTGTACGTCAAAAATACAAGAACGCCGTATTTTCTGACAAAACATTAAGATAAGCGAACAATTTTAACGATCTCTGGAAAACTCTACAACTTTCTGCGTCATTACGTGCACCGCTTGTTGCTACAATAAATTTAAATCTGAAGAAGGCCCGCCATCGGCATTAATCTTCATCACGATCATGCACGCTCGATCGACTGTAGCCGTAATTTCTCACCACATTGATTGAGCCAAAATCAATTAAAAATAAATCTCTCTAAAGATATAAAAAAACAGAACACAACCGACGACAATCGAACTGCAAAACAGACGCGCGCGGATTTTCTCTCCCGTTCTCTGTTGTGTACATATTTTCGGCGATCGATCATGTGAGTGGTGTCGCTGTCGGAAAAGCCGTGAGAGCTTCGGGAAGTCGATCAAACGGATTGCGCATCCTCAGAAAGTTAAAGGAAAAGCTAACAAATTCTAATTACCGCACCGGACCGGCAACCAGTCGCATTTTGGCAGTCGTAAGCGTTCGACGATCGACAGAAGGAAAATCAGTTCGGTACTATCTTATCCGACGGTGGAGCCCATCGATATCGGTGATCAGTGAAAGTGCAAAAGAAAAGATATTTTTAGTCCGTTTGAAGACACTGCGAAGACAAAAAGGACAATCATTCGGTGGCGCAAACGTTCGAGAATCTAGTGCATCAAGTGGATTGTTTCTAGAACATTCAAGCGATTGAGCTTGAGATTATTTCAAGTGCAAACAGAACTTCAGTGAACAACAACACAACACATAATGGGTGTCCAGGACGTCCAGGATCACGTGCCTGTGCAGTGCGATTTCGAAATTTTCGGACAGGTGCAAGGTGTGTATGAAGACGAACTCTCGAAGACAACCGATGCCGTAATACATGTGTCATAAATTACTTTGGAGTGTCTCAAAATGTATATTCAAAAAATGAAACAAACGATAATCCCCACTATTATGAAATGATGGATCAACTAAAAAAAGTTAGGTCACATATCTTCATCTTACGTCAATGTTCAATCTTCTTCTGAAAAAGTTTCACCCAGCAAGCGGACACAACATGATGTAGATCGAATCTCGCTGCTTGTGGACGGCGATACAAAAGAAAATATTTTTAAAAACCGATTGTTCCACTTTGCTCGGATTGTTTTCCTCGGACTGTCCGCTTGCACCCCTTTGGGGAACGAGGGTACAACAGAAAAGATTGAACTCCTAGAGCAAATTTAGCATCACACGAAGCAGCTCAGCTATGCGATAAAGTAATATGTTCTGTCTGCTACTGACACCGCAAAGCCCAGGGCGATCACATTTACTTGAAAATGCTACAAATTCCGAATTATTTATGAGTATTTTATGTTTTTCACTCATGATGCTATTTAATTAATATCTCGAAAAAAATTAATTGATAACCTATATGTGAATCATTTCACTTTTTTCAACAAATCATCAGTTTGTTTAAAACTTTATGATGGAACAGAGGTACGAACCGAGAACCATGAACTTGAAATATCTATCCCTTAGTTCACCTGAGCTTCTCAAGGGTATTCTTAAAAAAAAATTTTAAAAATAAACCAAACAACGAGCTCTATCGAATACAATAATTTTGTCTTTCAAATAGAAGACTTTGACCTTCGTAATCCAAGTGAACTTTGAGTATTGTAATTAAAAGATAAGTCCTAAAGCAAAAAAAACTATAATAAAACTTCAATAGGTCGAATGTCAGTTACAGTCAACTCTCTACAACTCGATATTAAAAAATACAATTGACACCGTCTTCAACCATAGGCTGCACAGATTTAACACTAGAACAACGGACAACACACAATACCCAGTAGACCATTTTCGGGTTGTGAAAAGTTCCACTGGCTGGAGCGGGAATCGAACCCTCATTTCGTGGCACTCACAAACGCCTGAATGACGGGGGACGCCGCTAACCGCACGACCACGATACAGGCATTGAAGAGACCACCGAGTTGTATTTAAAACACCAATCCCATAGAAAACTTTTGACAAAACTCAGGTAATCATGACATATCCTGACGCAGTAGGTTCCTTTTTTGCATTCGCGTTGTATTCAAAGATCAAAATGTCATGATTACTTGAGATTTGTCAATGATGTAAATATTTACACGTCGTGCATTGAAGAATAACTCGATATCGATATTGAGTTGTGAGTTGAATGCTTAAGATTTTCAGCGCAATACGATGCTTGTGTGGCCAATACATAATTTTTCATAGTATAAATTACGCAGTAGGTTACAGTGCAGTGAAACATTATTCATGTTTAAAAAATCACCAGGAAATGATTAGATGAGAAAACTGCTTGCGAAGGGTCTCCATCAAAATGTGGTGTGATTTTATGGTTGTTTTTGAGTTAGTTTAGTAACACTTTTTTTCCTCTGTTCGGAACCCAAAACCACTGCGACCAGTAAGTTGATGTATTGTAGTATATCCCCTTAGTTTAGTGCATGTCGTATTACTCCATCACTATTGACAAATGGGGGCTTATTACGGATGTCACTTCACGGTGAAAACTTGTCACTTGTCGTCACGGTGAAGTGATTCCCATTTGATTTGTACGGCAATCACGGCTCTTATTATGAGTATCACTTCCTTATCACCGTGTAGTGACACCCGTAATAAGGCCCATGATGAAATATTCGATTTTGTTTACAGTTGTCATTCTTGCATTTATCGCAAGGATCCGACTCTAATTGAAAGGTCCCGCTCTTTATACCCCTCGGAGTGTTGGAACATTCTCCAAAGGCGCGGCCGCTTTGTCAGTCAAAATTGGATTCCTTAGCAAAAAAATTAAGAAATGACATTGATAATAACCATGCATCAGAACCCTAGTCTTAACCACTTCAAACTAGAGAACAACGAATAGAAGATTAGGAATGACATAGATGAAGATTAACCAACTCATTTTTTCAACAAGGCATAAAAAGTAACAAGGACTAAGATGTGTTCCTTTGATTACTGAAAAATCCTGTTCCTGTTCTAGTTTGAAGTAGTCAGGACTAGGAATCGGTGGTAGATCTTACATCCCGTACCACGAAAAGCTGATCTACCCACGTTACGGGGCATAACATAATAATAATGAGTTTGAAACTTGTTTACAGAAAAGGACTGAGTGAAAACAACATTGGCGGGATAATTTGTAGTGCATTAGTCTAATACGGTGTGAAATGCGCAATAAATGATTGGGTACATGGTACATACACCGTGGACTTCCGGTAATCTGACCGTGTTTAATCTTAACATTTTTTAGTTTGAACCCCGCTAATCTGCACGCTGCGCAAATAAAAAAAAATCAAACGTCATTTAGCACATGGAATGAAGAAACGCGAAATGGAACGATGCGAAACGGACCGCAGAATCAAAACAAAACATCAAATAAGGCTACCAAAAACTCGCTTTTCTGATGATCATAAGATTACAAGCAGCAAAAATGAACCCCGTTAATATGCATGAAGTGTCGTTAAGACTATCGGGGGTCCACGGTAGTAGGATTTTTAAGAGGAAGTTAAAAAAAAATATGTCAAATAGCAATGACATTCACTTGAAATGCATTCTAGTGTACATTTGACAAATAATTGCCATTAACTTGTATCAGTTAGCGGACTTTTGGTTAAAAGGTTTTACTTAGCGAGCGTTACATGAACATTAAAAAATTATCCAATATAATTTATTGGAGTGGTAGGGCAAGTCAGCTGTACTCTGAGCTAATATATTTACATTGAGTAGCTGTGAGTTACTTGTATTTGCTCGAAAAATAACGAAGTAGCCTCAATTTTACTTTGTCCAAACTGTCATATTTACAAACACTTCTTCTTTTTCATCATATTTCAAGCTTATTGCTTATCGCATATTAGCTTATTGTGTGCTCTCAACTTAGTGTTCTAGATGCATTTCCACAGTTATTAATTGAGAGCTTTTGATGCCTGTACCATTTTTGCATTACTTTAATTGCACAGACAAACAGACATAACTCCTTGAATGAGTTTTTTTTTCTTGAAAACATAGTATCTCAAAACATAGGACCTCAGTAACGACATCTCTCGGGAAAAAAGCTTGCTCGTTAAGTCGCAAACAATATTGCATGGAAGGTAAATAGAATATATAGAAACGTCGTCGTGATCCAATGCCAGCGTTCAGCGAGTAGTTCGCGGAAATGATAATTTTCAAAACAATCGTTAAATGCGCGAACGATGATCCAGATTGAAGAGCTACGTCTGTTTGTCTGTGGTAATTGTGTGGCAAGTACAATCATACTATACTCTATGCCCAAGGAAAACGAGAAATTTTCCAACCCGCAAAATTCCTAGACCGGACCGGGAATCGAACCCAGCTACCACCAGCATGGTAGTTCCTTTGTAGCTGAGCCTTTACCGGCTGCACTACCCTAATAAAAATTGTATGGTTAATTTGCTTAACGACGTGTTCTGGGTATCATCCAAACCATTTGTGGAATAGTACAATGATTTGGGTTATCGTTCGTTTATGATTATTTTTATTAGGGTAAGGGAGACCTCTCATTTACAAGCACGCAAACGGTAGCCATTATGAGCAGTTTTTTTTTTTTTAATTTCAAGTAAGGTATTTTTCTATCGGTAAAACAAATGCAAATGATCACTCTACACAGTGTGCCAACAACAGGTTTGGCACAGTTCTGGCAGACGCATTGACACTGTTGGGCATCCTAAGACATTCACGTCAAATTTCGGGAAAAAAACTGGCAACACTGTTTCAACTGTTTCTGCGGAAAAAAAAACATATCCATGGCAACTTTTACTAGCAGACATAATTGTGACATAATTAATGGACGATCCCTAATGAAGGATAACAATTTCACTAATTATTTTTATTTCTACTTATTATAAATTGTGGCATGATTCTTTTTCAGAATATTGTCATAGAGAACCCTTGAGAGATTAACTATTGGATTTGCTCTCCCTGATGTTCTTGGAGGAATTTGATAATAAACTCATCACCGCAGATGGTCCAGCTCCTTGAACACTTACCAGATTTACTGTATTTACCACGGATAAAGTATCTTGCAGCCGTTCTTCAAATCGATTCACCATGCAGCCGGTAGTGCAAATCAATCTGGTTCTCCACATATCCACATATTAGTGTTGGTGGACACACAATGTCCTTCATGGTTTTGGCGAGAATAGGTCTGCAATGGTGCCACCTGGTAGCAAACGATGAACCATCGTAAAATTTATATCTGGATCGAAGAAAGAAATGGTTCACAAATCGAAAACTCAACAAGAACTATGCAAACATTTGACAAAAAAAAACAAATACAAAGAACTACTCACCTTGGATTCCCTTTATAGATTCCATAAAACTGGTTTCGAAAAAATATTCTTTTTTCAACGATTCAAAACGGTTTTTCTTCTCGTTCGGAAGCTGATATCCTGCGGCCAGCTCACATTCTTCACCGTAATGCTATTTCCTATTTGTTCGAATTCCAATGCCTATTCCTATTCGTTCGAATTCCAATGCCGTTCAATCACTTTTGGCTTAAATTTTCCATAAAAAATACACTTTGTACCACGCATACAAATTTCACCATCTCGTTTCGAAACAGAAAACAGAAAACAGAAAACAACAATCGAGATGATAATCTACTATAGATTACTTTCTAATCTAAGCACTGCGTATGGAGAATTAATCAGCAAATGAATAGAATAGGGGAAATGACGGCTTCGGCATGACAGACTATTTTCGGCAACACAAATTGAAACACTATTTTCACTGGATTTTCTTACGAAACCACTTCGCTGAATGCATGCAAAAGATTCTTTATGCTTTCAGCTTCAATTTGAC